GGGCACCCTATCTAGTCGAAGTGGAGTAGCGGAAGACACTCATATCTAATCAAAGTATAGTTGCGGGAAGGCACTCATATCTTATCATATCTTTCACTGAGTAAGCGGCAAACGATTTGTCACCCTTGTCCTATGGCGAAAACGGCTGTCACCTTGCTGACTCTTCACTTTCACCAACCCTTCTTGCGATTGCCATGCAAGCCCTCGGCGAAAGGGCCTTTCAGGTATCCGATTTTGTACGGAATCCGGGTTGGTATCCCTATCTAATCGTACACTCAGAGCCTGTGCTCTGAATGTTGATTAGATATGACCGCCCTTCCGCAACTTCGATTAGATATTGCCACTTTGATTAGATATTATGAGTGGCCCCCCGAACTACATTTTCACCTGTTCAGCTTCTCCTACAACAATGAAGAAGTGCGGATGCGTTGGAATAAACGCGGTCGTCCGGTATTCGTGTTGAAACCGATAAATATCAGCGATTTCTGGCTCAAAGACATAACTCCGGCGGTGATTCGACGGGTAACTCGTCCAAAATCTTCGTTACACAAACGCGCGCTAACAGAGAGTTCCTTCAGGATTACCCTGCCGGAATGTGGGACGAGTTGGTTGTAACGTTTGTGTTTGAGCGTCGATATATGTGGTACTTTCTACAAGCTTATCTACCGACATACTTCACAATCTTTATCAGGTGAGTATTTCAGAAATCCGACGAAAATGCAACGCCCGCTGTCTTTCAGCAGTTGCGTATGAACTTTATTTTCTCAATGAACAACTCAAACAACTCAGGCAGAAGTCCGATGAACGATTCTCTTCGCTGTGTAGGATAGAGCCCTAGAGGACAATCACCTGGTGCATCCCCTGTCCGCAGTAAGCTGTTGTTTGGCGCCCACTCATCTGCTCTCACCTTATACTCTCCCCTATGGGCTTACCATTAGTCTCTCATCCCCCTTACACAGCCACATTACTATGGTGAAGTTAACTCAAAGGAATTGTCCACAGAAAATCTGTTTACTCTTTCCTCGTATAAATGTGTTTTGCGTGGTCACAGATGACCATGCGCAAAGTTATGAGCGAAAGGTTGAAATCCCGAAGAGTAGTTGGTCCTGGAAAGCTTACCTGCAGGACTGCATCTGCCACGGTGGGTGGCAAGTATCGACTTCTGGTGTGGATGGAAGCAGGGTGCTTCCGTGGGCGATTTCTTCAAGAGTTTTCGACAGATCCTTCCCCTTTTCTCTTTACTGCCGGCCCATTCTGCACCAATACTTCTATATTCGGGTGCAAGAACCACACCAGCATGATGCTGGGGCATGCCTTTAAAGACGATTTCACGATGAAAAAGCAACCCATTTAAACAAATTAACCTAGGGATGGTGAGGAGTGGTACACGAAAGAAGGAAGAACCATGAGAAATGCCAGAACACAGAAGGTAACCCCTCTTTACCTGTATCGAGCGTTGATGCCGACCTCTCATCGCTGTCCCTCTTCAATAAACTTACCTCGTCCGTTATCTTAATCACTCGCCAATATGAACTTTAACGGACGAGTGATACAGTATGATACTGAGAGCGAATCCCGAGACTCCGCAACGTAAGCAAACCAGCCCTTTTGGCGCTTCGGCTGGGACCGTATGCTGAATGTTGGGGAGGGGATGGAGTCCCCGACGGTGGACGGACCACTTCAACTCGGTCCTTAGAACCGCCACAATTTGGTGCTCACCTCAGAACTAAGCCTTAAAGAGAGGACGGGTTCGTCCCCTCTCCAAGGCTTAGTCCTGGGGTGAGCAAACCAGCCCTTCTGGCGGAGCTGCTGGACCAGCTGCACCACTTGCGTCAGTACTCTCCTATCGTACCAACCGAGTTGAAGTAAACCGTCGACCGTTGGGGACCCCATCCCCTCCCCAACATTCAGCATACGGTCCCAGCCGAAACGCCAAAAGGGCTGGTTTGCTTACCTCCGACCGCCAGCTTTGAGGCATGATAGGTCGCCGAGGTCAAATTTTTCCATGCGAATTGCGCGTCAGTTCGCACCCTCAGGAGGTCCGTGGGTCCCTCAACTAGGTCAGTTTCCCTTTCTTCGACCTTCATTCTAATCGTGAATTCCTCCTTTAAACACATTTCTACTGTCACA